GCATGTGTGACAATCTGCCTCCCTCCTGCCTTTCATCGGTAGCTAAGCTTTCAGGCGACCTAGGGAGATCGAGACCCTTGATGTTGCTAAACCCAAATTGCATTAATAAAAGATGATGTTAGTGGGCTCTAATCTGGCCAGCCTTGAACTAGCAGGCATCCCAAAAACCATACACAGGCCACGTTTCCATCCCCACGTATATAGCACATTGCAATAGGCATCATATTGAAACATAATCCAGGAAGGTAGGAAAACATGCTGTTTTGTTAAAAAACCTGCAAGGCGTTAAAAAAAGAGAGCTTGCAAAGTTGCATCTCCTGGTTGGTCTGCTCCCTCGCCACCCCACAAAGGCTCCCAACTGCCTTGTAGGAAGGATCCTGATAATCTATGCTACTGTATTGTATTTTAATTATGCATTTTCATTGGTGTTGCTAGTAAACTGCCTTCGGAGGATCAGTATCCTGAAAGGTTGGATATAAAGACTTGAAATACAGAAGTAATAGGGGGATTTGCTCAATGGGGCTTATTCAACCTAGCAAGCATGTTTATGATGGCAGTTTAACAGTGCAATCTTATACATTTCCAGTTAGAGCAGGGGTCAGCAAACTTTTTCAGCAGGGGGCCAGTCCACTGTCCCTCAGACCTTGTGGGGAGCCCGGAGTATATTTTTTTGGTGGAAATGATCGAATTCCTATGCCCCACAAATAACCCAGAGATGCATTTTAAATAAAAGCACACATTCTACTCATGTAAAAACACACTGATTCCCGGGCCATCTGCGGGCTGGATATAGAAGGCGACTGGGCCAGATCCAGCCCCTGGGCCCTAGTTTGCCTACCCATGAGTTAGAGGAAAGCCCATTCAGTTCAATTGGATTTTCTCCCAGATCATGGAGCAAAAAGGATTGTAGCCTAAATCATGTTTGCTACATCTCTTTGTGGAAATTACTTACAAAGGAAACCTCTTGTAACAGAAAGTGAAGCCTCAACAGAGCAAGGCTCAGACTAACAAAAACCAATAAAATCTCTATTACTTCCAACTCAGGAAGGATTTATCCTTTAATCATTTGAATGCAGTGCCTTCTTGCATCTACTTAATGAGACAGCTCATTCTGTTCTGAGAATTACAGAGAGCATTGTGGTTTATGGGCAATCAAACTAATAAGGTTGTTTATCGAAAAATGGATTACCAGGCAAGAATCTGACCATGGAAGCAGAGTGCCTGTTTCCAAGGGCTTCATTAATGGACACTTAAAACAAAAACAAAAAACCATATGTTTACTGCAGGCTGTCACTCACCTAGCAAAAACAAAACACAAAAAATGACATCTATTCCACACCATAGATATACACACACTTCCAAAGTTCCATCTCTTAGTTACACAAGTCCTTTCTGAAGGTGTAGTCCCATCAGACATCTTCTCTGTGGCCTGCCTATCTCTAGATCAACAAGTCTGGGACTTGCAAACAGGGATGCAGCTGGTCACCTGGGGTGAAGATACGGTAAATCTTTTCCAGGTGACCAAATGGGTAAAGTTTTAATTCTTCTTATTATTTTTCAAATTTATATAATGCCATTCATCTGAGGGTGACAGGGTGGTTTAACAATATAAAAACACAAAAAAATATTTATTTATGCATTGCATTTATATCTCACTTTTCCCTCTCCAAGCTCAAGGTGGCACACATGATTCTTCCTCTCCTCAGGTGAAATATACTCAGAGTCGAGAGTGGATTTCATGCTCTGTATTCAGCTCATAGTGGTGAGGAGGAATGAATGTCACCTCAAAGTATCTGCTTTATATACATTATTTACACAATGGGCTGCACGTGATTGGCTAATTCCGGTATTCTCCTGTTGGCCAATTCACTTCCACCTGGAGCTGGATTGGGTGGCTCCTGCAGACCAGTCATACTGCTGCACTGTTCTAGGACCAATCCGACTGCTGCATTCTGAAGCCTACTGTTCTAGGACCAATCAGACTGCTGCATTTTGGATCCTATTCAACTCAGTACATAACCCCTCATTTGATCCTCATAACAACCCGGTGAGATGAGCTGACAGAAGACTGTGATTGGTCCAGGGTCACCAAGTGTGCTTCGTGGCTGAGTGGGGATTTGAAGCCTGGACTCCGTGAGACAGGAGTGTGCAAAGTGCTGGCAACTTCCTCACCCAGGATTTTGGTTTTCGTCAAGCTGATGGTGAGGCCAAACTCCCCGTAGGCTTGGGCAAAACGGTTGATTAGCCTCTGTAGAGCTTCTTTGGAGCGTGAGGGCAAGGCTGTGCCATCTGCAAACACATCTTTCAAATAAAGACCTGGCATACTTTTGTCTTGGGGCAGAGATGTGCCAGGTTGAGTCCCGTCGTTCCTGGAATGAAAGGACACATCTCACACCGCTGTAAATAAATCACACTTCCTAGTTTCCCATTGTTTGTGTTTCCCCTCTTATAAGCTCCCTGAAACAGAAGCATTGGCTGCTGTGCAATTTGATGCTTCTCCTTCTCAGGCTAAAAAACAAAGGATGGCCGTTTTTTCTTATATACTGAACAGACAAGAGAATAGATGGGGTAGACATTGCCCTGGAATCTGAGTTTTCCAACAGGATTTGAAATGTTACATTGCCCCCTTGTGGCAGTTCTAATCAATTCCGAATCCTTCTCAGCTAGTCTATTTCATACAGCCTGGAAGCTTACAGGCTATACAGACTATAGCCCTTGATTTCTTTTAACTATCCCTGCCAAACCACTTACTGAGGCTGCACCCTACCATCGTGAGCTTGAGAGCAGACACAAGGCGAGGCATTTAACGAAACCCTTCTTCTGCTGTGCACTTTAGATTATTTCTATTTAGGAGGGATGAGGAATCTGGTGGCCCTCTAGTTGGTTGTTGGACTATTTATTTATTTATCCCTAGCAAAGACTCAAGACAGATTACAACTAAAATAGGAACAGCTAAACACACACACATATAAAGCAATCATAAAAAAAAACTTTAGTAGACTATATAATTTTATTTTGATATATTGTAATGCTTTGTTTGATATATTAATTTACATTATCAACGTCTTTGAATTTTTTAAAATATATAAAGCAGTATTGAAATGATTTAAATAAAACTTGCTTAGAAGTAAGTCCTGTTGTATCACAGAGTATCACAGAATTGTACAGCTGGAAGGGACCCTGATAGTCATCTAGTCCAACCCCCTGAAATCTTTTGCCCAACATGGGGCTCAAACCTTCAGATTAAGAGTTTCATGCTCTGTTCAATGAGAGTTTCTCTCTTTCTCTTTTGCGCACACATATACACACTCCCTCTCTATATGTATATGTTTTCCTATATATATAATGAAATAAAATTACACAAATGAAACAATAACAGAAACACTATACATAAACAATATACTCCCAACGTTGTATTGCATTCTATTTATTGCACTGTCTTATGTTTCACTTTGCGTGTGTGTGTTGTACTCAACCCTGCTCCCTGTTTGGCTGGACATAGGAGAGCTCTGCTGTTGTACCAATCTAAACCACCATACTGTCTCCCCAATGACCAACCAGTTGCCCATTTGGGAATCCCGCAAGCGGAACCTGAGCGCAACAGCAACTCTCCCCACTTGTGATTCTCAGCAATTGGGATATGGAGGCACATACTGCCGCTCAAAGCAGAGGTAGCAGAGACATCGCGGCTAGAAGCCACTGAAAAACGTATGTCTTTTAAATTTTTTTAAATTTTTTTTAAAAAAATTATTGAATAATACAAGAATATCAAATCAAATTTCAAACATATCCATATACACATAATTATTTACATATTTGCCAAACGAAGACTATAGAAAAAGATAAAGAAGGGAAAATTTTTTTAAAAAAGAAAAAATACTTTCCATAAACAATAATATGAAATTTGTACTTACACACATTACAAAATACAAATCTTAGTTAAAATATTTTAAAAGACTTCCACCGCCTAAACCACACGTCTTTTATTATCTAGTTCACCTTAACTCTGTTATTCACTTCCTTCCCTTAAGTTCTTCCCTAATCCATTAAATCTTTGTATTCTTTATAGTCCTCACAAGGTTAATCTAAACACAACCAAATTTTCGTGGTTGAGCCCTGTTTATGTAAATATTCATTTAAACAACCCCACTGTTTCTGTACCATAGTTTTGGATTTTTGCCTTATTAAGTCTGTCAATTTAGCTAACTCCAGGTACTCACATAGTTTACTTAACCATTCTCTTTTTGTTGGGATATTATTTCCTTTCCAGGGGCTGGCTATCAGTATTCTTGCTGCTGTTGTTGCATATAAAAATACATTGATTTTGTCTTTAGGGATATCTTTACTCAAGATTCCTATGTGTTAAGAGCAGTGCTGGATTTACGAATAAGCTAAACAAGCTATAGCTCAGGGCCCCAAAAAATTTAAAGGAAAAAAACCCTGGATGTACATTTCCAAAATATAAGATAAAAAACAAATAAAATAAAACCTACATCATTTTAAGTTAGAGCTTAATAATTATTTCACTATTAATATACTTCTTCTTAATTGCATTTCGGTTCAACAATTACTTTGATAAAATACATATTTTGTTATATGCAAATGGCTTTAGATACCTATTAGGTCCATAAATTACCATACAGCATATATGCAACACAAAAAACAGCGACAATTTGTTGTTGACAAAGGACAGCTGGACATATAAAGGGCCCCATTACATTCAGTAGCTTAGGGCCTCATCAAACCGAAATCCGGCCCTGCTTAAGAGAGATTTCAGAGCTGTCTCTCTGCACTTCCCTTCTCAACCTTCCATTACTTCCTTTTCCCCGCCCACTTCGAACGCTGGGACACCGCCCTGAAGTCTCAACGTTCCACAACTCCCCCGCTGCCAGCGCACCGATTGGCTCCCGCGACGTTCCGAGTCTCCCCTTTCGGCCAATCCGAGCTCTCCCGCGCCGTTTCGCAGAGGAAGACGGTGAGCTCATTGCCCGGGAAGGTTTGAAATTTACAAGGAAAGGCTTGTTTGGCCGCTTGGCTGTCGTTGAGGGTTGAAGTTGCGGGGACCCGGGCCGGGTTGAAGGAGGAGGGGGACGATGGCTGATCCGGCGCCCGAATCGTTGACGCCGCCGCTGCCGCTGGAAGAGGCAGCGATGGAGACAGAGGCCTCGGATGCCGCAGCGAGAGGGGAGAAAGCGAATGAGAACGGACCAGGCGAGACGGTGAAGGGCGCTGTGATCCTGGAGACGGAAGCAGGAGAAACGGAAGAAGGGCGTGATGGACGGGGAGAAGAGTCCCTGGAGCCCGCGCCAAATGCCCGCATTTCTGAGCCACAGGAAGAACCAGAAAACCTTAAACTAGGTAAACAAGTGGTTTGTTTGTTTGTTTACCTTCTGCCTCCTTTCACAAATCTCATTATTGCGTACTTGTTTTAAATCCTATAACTGATTACTCACATTGGGGTTTTTGTTTTCCAAACTAAGCTGTATTACAAAAGTACAATATGGATCACAGCGTAACTATAAGTTTATGCCACTCCCTCTATGAACAGTTTTCCAGGATTCAGATTACATTTGACTGAAACACAATCCATTCTATGAGTAGGATTAAGTATCTTGTTAATATATTTGTTCTACTACAATACAGTAGTACCTTGGGTTACATACCCTTCAGGTTAAATGCGCTTCAGGTTACAGACTCCGCTAACCCAGAAACATTACCTTGGGTTAAGAACTTTGCTTCAGGATGAGAACAGAAATCGTGCAGTGGCAGCGCAGCGCAGCAGCAGCAGGAGGCCCCATTAGCTAAAGTGGTGCTTCAGGTTAAGAACAGTTTCAGGTTAAGAACAGACCTCCAGAACAAATTAAGTACGTAACCAGAGGTACCACTGTATCTAGTTCTAATTTCCCCCTCTTTACAGTGTTCATTGTTTCCCATAACGTATAACCAAAACAAATGATGCCTTTAGTTAACTCCACATTTCATTTTTTTAAATTAATCCAACCCTTCTTCAGTTGATCCTGTTTTCCATTTAAAAAGACCAAACCATTTTATCTGTAGTTGGAGCTGACGTTGGTTACCATTTTTTACATTTTCCATGCCATTGTTCCTTCCAAAGAACTTGGCTTGGTGCAAATCCTGTTGTTGTTGTTTTGTAACAACCACCTTGTTAGGTAGGTTAACCTGAGAGGCTGATGCAGTGACCCCTCTGAACAAAGAGCCTCTTTTCCTAAACATAATGCTGTCAGCAAAACCTACTGTGTGAATGTATTTGGAATAGTGCGTACAGTTCTGATTGGCTCACCTCAGAACAGTCTAAATGTAGAGTTGGAAAAAGTTAAGAAAAGGGTAAGCAAAATGATCAAAGAGATGAAGTAACTCCTCTATGACTGAAGGTTGCAGCATTGGGGATTTTTTAGTTTAGAGAGCAGGTGAGTAAGAGCTGACATGATAGAAGTTTATAAAATTATGTGTATACACACACACACACACACACAGTGGTACCTTGGGTTACATATGCTTCAGGTTACATACGCTTCAGGTTACAGACTCCATTAACCCAGAAATATTACCTTGGGTTAAGAACTTTGCTTCAGGATGAGAACAGAAATAATTGTGCAGCGGCGGTGCGGCGGCAGCAGGAGGCCACATTAGCTAAAGTGGTGCTTCAGGTTAAGAACAGTTTCAGGTTAAGAACAGACCTCCAGAACGAATTAAGTTCTTAACCCGAGGTACCACTGTATATATACTTCCCATTGTGGCCACTGTGAGAGCAGGATGCTGGACTAGATGGGCCACTGCCCTGATCCAGCCAGAGCGCTTCATATGTCCTTACACTGGGACCTCTGAACCTGAAGGAATACTTCTTTCCATATGAAGCCACCAAGGCCTTAAAATCAGCAACCCAGCAACATCTGGAGCACAGCTGGGTCCCTACCTAGGAATTAGGCCTTGCACTTTAGTAGAAAGGCATTATGAGTGTGCTAAAAGCGACCAGTGTTTAATGCATCACAAGTTTTCTATATGTTCTGTGTGGAACTGCAAAATATTTAAGTAGCATGTTTTTTAAAAAATGGCTTCATCTGATGTGTTCAAGAATAAATCAATTGGACGTATGATTTCTCTCTCTCTCTCTCTCTCTCTGGCCTAAGACGAGGGTGAAGGCGGAGAAAGCGATAGTGAATGCAGCAGCTGCAGCGATTATGGGAGTCATGGCAAGCCAGGGACCTCTTTGCAAAGGCTTGTGCCAGAGAGGAATGCCCTCTTCCCAGACACTTTCCAGACAAACAACCTCCTGTTCTATGAGCGGTTTAAGACCTATCAGGACTACATGTTGGGTGAGTAGCCTCTTGGTTTCCGAGGCTGTGCTCTTGATATCGGGGTTCCAGATTTATTTACGGTTTCTGTATTTGTCAATTTATTTACACCTTGCCTGTTTCAGGTGCAAACCTTCACAAGGTGGCTTACAGAATGACCAATAAATGAATAAGTATAGGCATGAAAACTGATGAGTTAAAATGGCAGCAGCTAAAACATTACACCTGGAGAGTCAATAAAGCCAGGCAGAACAACAACAGCGAGTCTGTTTTAAAATGAGGGTTGTGCGGGGGTTGAATTCTGTTTATTGCCATTTCAGCACAGGTTAATATCACCATTAAGCTGCAAGTTCAAACCTGCGTCTGAGTTAACTACAGGCCAGGGATTCTACCAGCTGAGCGTTTCCCCCCTTTAAAATCTGGCTGGGATTCAGGCACCATTTCTGAGCTGCAAATCACCCAGTGATTCACCAGTAGATTCCAACCTCTTATCTTCTCTCTGCCCAAATGGAAATTATAGCCCATTGTTGCAAACCTTCTCTCCTAGGAGGTATTTGTGTGGGTTTGCAGCAGATTGTGAGCCCCTCCTAGTTTCCGCAAGGTCTGTGCTGCTCAAATTCTTGCAGCTAGCGAAAGGGGGTTGGGGACTTGCGGCTTCTCCATATTTCATTGTCTCCAACCCTGCTCAGCCCAAGCTAGCATGGCCAGTGGTCAGGGAAGATGGGAGCTGGAGTCCTGCAGCACTTGCAATGCCTTGGGATCCCTAACCCTGGCCTGTTGGCTTCCTTAATGTTGCCCAGTAACAATTGAGCAGTTCTCATTGTATCTCTTTGTGCATTGAAAGTGCTCACCTAAAATCATCATCATCATCATTTATACCCCGCCCATCTGGCTGAGTTTCCGCAGCCACTCTGGGCGGCTCCCAATCAAGTGTTAGAAACAATACAGCATTAAATATTAAAAACTTCCCTAAACAGGGCTGCCTTCAGATGTCTTTTAAAGATAGGATAGCTGCTTATTTCCTTCACATCCTAAGGGAGGGCATTCTACAGGGTGGGCGCCACTACCGAGAAGGCCCTCTGTCTGGTTCCCTGTAACCTCACTTCTTGCAATGAGGGAACTGCCAGAAGGCCCTCGACGCTGGATCTCAGTGTCTGGGCTAAACGATGGGGGTGGAGATGCTCCTTCAGGTATACAGGACTGAGGCCGTTTAGGGCTTTAAAGGTCAGCACCAACACTTTGAATTGTGCTCGGAAACGTACTGGGAGCCAGTGCAGATCTCTCAGGACCGGTGTTATGTGGTCCCGGTGGCCACTCCCAGTCACCAGTCTAGCTGCCGCATTCTGGATTAATTGCAGTTTCCGGGTGACTCCTTTTCATTTGTTTTCTGTCTGCTCTGCTCACAAACACATTCAGGGCATTGCCTGTGTATTTTCTGATGCGTGGATGTGTGTAATCTCCCCTCCCCCCCTATTTGATTTCCAGCTGACTGCAAAGCCTCAGAGGTCCAAGAATTCACAGCATCGTATTTGGAGAAGGTCCTTGAGCTGTCCGGGTGGCAGGCAGTGTGGCGCACCAGCGTGTTTGAGGTCCTGGTTGAAGTAAGTGCAGCCGGGCAGCCCAGAGGCTTGGTTCCACGTGAATCATTGACAAGAGCTGGGTGTTTAGATGCTCGCCTTGTGCTAGGGGGATTGCTTTCGTTGCATGACCCAATGTGCAATATAATAACAAAATAAAAATTCAAAACATTATTATTTGCACGTTTACTCAAAATCCAGTGAAAACTGTTTCATTTAATTCAGCACCATTGATGATTTTGATCCAGCAGTACCAGCTTTTCACAGTCTCTTTTTAAATAATATTTTTTCCATATAGAAAATTACACTTGTTACTCAACAATTATATAACAAGAGTTAAACACACCTCCAGCATTGCCCTGCATCCCCCTTGCCTCTTAGCACCCCACTAGGTATTCCCTCCACCCCCAGATGGCAGTACCAGCCCTGTTGGGAGCTACTGTTTTTAACAGGGTGTTTTAATTGTTGTAATCCACCCTGGGATGTTACAGTGAAGGACGAGGTGTTGTTAGAATCATAGAATTGTGGAATTGCTCTGGTTCCCAAGGGTCCTCAAGTCCACCCCATTGCAGCGCATGTGTTGCAGCTAAAGCATCCCGGACAGGTGGCCACCCAGTCTCTGTTTGGAAACCTGCAACAAAAGAGAGTCCTCTTTCCAAGGGCTTCCGTTCCACTACCAAAAGCAGATCTCAGCATCCAAAATTCCTTCCGAATGTTTAGTCGGAATTCTCGTAACTTGAATCCAGTGATTCGAGTCTTACCCTCCTCTGGAGCAGCAGAAAACAAGCTGCTTGTTATTAATGAATAGTATTATTAATACTATTCTTATTACATTGAGTTTTTTTGGAGGGTCCTTGAAGCCATTCTCCTGCCCCCAGATGGCGCTGCGCAGACCATGAAGGTGCCTCTTCTTGCCTCTCTTTTTAACACAACAGGTTGTTGATGTGGATTACTCTGCTCTGAAGGCGGTGGTGCACCTCTGTGACCCTTTCCTGTGTGAGACTCGTGAGGGCGATGCCTTCACTCAGGAGTGTATACAGGAGCTTTTAGAAGTGAAGGCGCAGAAGCTGCCGTTGCGGGAGTTGTGGGTTGTCTTTGACGAGTCGGGGGAATTTGACCACACCGCACTGGCTGTCGAGCACGTCAGGTAAGATTACGTGGCCTGCCTATGCTGGGGACCTGCTCGCCCATGGCTTGGCCCTAGACCCAACATGATAGACATTTATGAAAGAGAGAGAGAGAGTGTGTTTTCTCTCTCATAACCTAGAACTCATGGACATCTAATGAAGCTGAATGTTGGAAGATTCAGGACAGGCAAAAGAAAGCACCTTTTCATGCATTAATGTATTTTACTATTTTGTTGGAAGCTGCCCAGAGTGGCTGGGGGAGCCAAGCCAGATAGGTGGGGTATAAATAATAAATTATTATTATTATTATTATTATTATTATTATTATTTATTATTATTAAACTGTGGAACTCAATGACACAGGAGGATGTGGCGTTGGATGGCTTTAAAAGAGGATTGGGCAAATTTATGGAATAAAGTTCTTCCAAAGGCTGCTAGCCAAGATGGCTATGCCCTGCCTCCATGGTCAGAGGCAGCAATGCTTCTGAATGCCAGTTGCTGGAAACCACAGAGGTATTTTTTTCCTGCTTTCCCATAGGCATATGGTCGGCCACTGTGAGAACAGGATACAGGACTAGATGGGCCACTGTCTTGATCCAGCAGGCTCTTCCTTGACATCCTTAACATTTCCCCCTTTTTGTTTTTGAAGGTTTTTCTACAAGCACCTCTGGCGGAGCTGGGATGAAGAGGACGACGACGACTTCGATTATTTTGGCAGATGTGTTGAACCTCGGCTCAGGCTGTAAGTCCCTCTTGAAAACATTTCTGAGCTTCTGCTCCCAACTCCAAAGGAGTTATGTTGTATTGCAAATGTGCTGGTGGCAGTGAATCTTCCCACGTAGTTTTGGCACAGAGTTGGTGTCCTGGCTGGGAATGCTCAGTTACTTGGGCAACAAACCCGCTTGCAGTGCAGCTCCTGTGAGGGAAGGGGAAGTTGTCAGCTTGACTGAGTGTGAAACCTTGTTGGTGAGGATGGAGAACTGGAAAGGTCCCAAGAAGCATGTGGGGTTAAGAGGCAAGAAAAGGGTGCAGAGGAGGAACACATAGGAAGTGTATGTGGAGAATGAGGCGAGGCTTGAAGAGATGGGGAATTGAGTTGAGAGGTTAACTGGAGAGCGAGCTCTGAAGAAACGTCAGCACAATACTGGGGCCACCCAATGAAGGTGAATAGGAGACGCTTACAGGACAAGTAAGAAGAAATACTTTGGTCAGTGCTTAGCTGGACTATGTTATTCACTGCCGCAACACTTAGAGATGACTTTAAATTGGCACCAGACAGATTGGTGGAGGAAAATGCTGTCAAAGACTATATACTAGTCATGATGGCTATATACTAGGGCTGTGCATTGGTTTTGTGTGTACCCCGAGTAACAAGGCAAATCAGGGTGATTTGGGTCAGACTCTCACGTTCCTGAGTCAGATAGCACGGTTAGCAAGCTGTCTCAAATTGCATCATGGACTGTCTAAGCTTCTGAACCTTTCTGTGGCTTTGGCTGCCTCAAAACGTAAACACGCAACTCCCTGACCCCTCCACTTTAGTTCTGAAAACATTGCTGTGGAAGCAATCATGGGGACAGTTCTAGGAGTGTTTTCTAAATTATATCACATGCATGGGGTCACTTTACCTCTAGGTGGTGCTGTAACACCAACAGTAGGATTTTTTAGGCAAGAAGAGGCACTTTGAGGAGTTCTGTCCAAATTAAAATAAAATTGGGCGTTCTGAGTTTCCCTGCAGCGGCCCAGGGCTGTATGATAGATTTAAAACAGGGTTTTATCCCCTTTCTCCCCCCTCTTTTTTTGGCTGAGTCCATCTTAAAAATTACCCACTTCCCCACCTGTTTCTTGCTTCACAACTCTCTTTTGCTCTGAAAGATTTTACTGTTCCATTTCTGGTGCACCTCCCCCCCCTCCCCGATCTCAAAGTGGCATAGACCTCTCCATCTCATCCGCACAACAACCCTGTGAGGTATGTTAGGCTGTGAGGGTTGGTGACCGGCCCAAGGTCACCCAGTGATGTTTGTAGCAGAGGAGGAGTTCTGAACCCTGGTCTCCCAGGTCCTAGTCCAGCAAATCTAACCACTACACCACACTGGCTCCAAAGTATTGCAGGTCATATTACGAACCCAAAGTATCAAATGTGGTGACAGTAATAATAATACAACAAAACAACACCACCACAAACTGGCTTATAAGTATAAAACCAAATTTACTAGAATACAGTGGTACCTTGGGTTAAGTACTTAATTCGTTCTGGAGGTCCGTTCTTAACCTGAAACTGTTCTTAACCTGAAGCACCACTTTAGCTAATAGGGCCTTCTGCTGCTGCCACGCCGCTGGAGCACGATTTCTGTTCTCATCCTGAAGCAAAGTTCTTAACCTGAAGCACTATTTCTGGGTTAGCGGAGTCTGTAACCTGAAGCGTATGTAACCCGAGGTACCACTGTAATAGCTAGAATAGAGATAGACTTGTAACCATTCAAACAACAAAGATACTGTAAACATGTAGAGGATAAATATACAACTGTATCTCCAGGCTTTGTCTTGCACATGGCACCTTAGTATGTTTGTTGTTTGAATGGTTATATGTCTATCTCTATTCTAGCTGCTATTTTGGTAAATTTGGTTTTATACTTATAAGCCAGTTTGCGGTGGTGTTGTTTTGTTGTATCATATTACGAACCCAGCCTTAAGAAGAACGGCTGAGGGAGCTGGGTATATTTAGCCTGGAGAAGAGCGAGTGGTGATATGATAGCCCTCTCCAGGTATCTGAAGGGCTGTCATGTGGAAGATGGAGGAAGCTTGTTTTCCTCTGCTCTGGAGGGCAGAATCCGAACCAGTGAATTCAAATGACAAGAAAGGAGAGCCTGACTGAGCATGAGGAAAAACTTTCTGACTGTAAGAGCTGTTTGGCCATGGAGCAGCCTCCCTTGGCAGGCGGTGAGCAATCCATCCCTGGAGATTTTTAAACAGGGGTTGGATGGCCACTGTCAGATGGCTGTTGCGGTTGCTCGAGAGTAAGCAGGCAGGACTCCGACCTGTCTTTTACAGGCTTTATTTTGGTGCAAACTATTTACAGTGAAGAGCATCATAAGTTCATGTCTGGCTCAATCGCTAGCAGAATCCGGGAGTGGTCTTTTTTTGTACCTCCCCCAACATAAAAGTTTCGTTACCCCCCACCGTTTCCGCCCCTCCCTGCGCCTCAGACTACTGCGCGATGGCAAGGGCGTGCTTCCCTCCTCTCCGACTTGCTCAGGAGCGGTGTTAAGGCTCTCACTAGCATCCTCTGGTCCTTGCACCTCTTCTCCACTAGAGGTGGGGCTTTCCTCCTCCCCAAAAGAGGAACTGCTTCGCAAGATTTTCAGAGGCTCCCTGTAACACGACTGCCCTTCTATTTCTGGCCTCTGAGCCGGTGGCAGTTCCCTGACAGCCACCTGTCAGCGATTCATTAGCTGTGATTTCTGCGTTGCAGAGGGTTGGACTAGATGAGCCTTGGGTGTTCCTTCCAACCCTAGATTTTTATGATTCTAAGGTGCTACTAGGCTCTGGGTTGTGGTCTTCCCCCCCCCCCCCCAGCAGACTACCCTAGCTGTTCCTCCTGGAATTTCTTTATTCTGGCTTCCTTCCTGCAATGTTTGATTCTTGGGCCTCTTCCCCCAGTCAATGACATCCTAATTTTGAATTCCAGGTACTATGACATTGCTGAAGATCGTGTCCCTTCCGCGCTGGTGGCGGACTACCACGGCCTTCTCTCCCAGTGTGAAGAGCTCTACCGCAGGTTTCTAGTCCTCAGGAACAGCCTCGCAAGTAGCGATTCCGACACAGAAGCAGAGAATGTCTCTGTGGTGGAAGGGATGAAACTCTACAACAGGATAGAGCACCTGAAACAAAAGTTAAAGCTTATTGAAAACCCTCTTTTGAGGTAATGCATTTTCATTTTAATTGAATATATATATATATATTTACTGCCTTTTGAATAAAAAAATAACAAAGCTGTAGGGCTTAGTGACCAGCGTTGCATTTGGGATCTTGGAAGATCTTTTCTTCCTGGATTCAGTCCAACCATGGATTAATCTTGGGTGGCTTTGCCCAGTCTTGGGGACAAGACAGACAATATTTTAAACATGTGACTGCATGTTTAATCTGTCCCCCCCCTTTAAAAAAATAGCTTGTGTGTGAGGGTGGGTGGGGTAAGCTATCAGGACCATGGGGAGGGGGCTTAACCCTTTCTTTCCCACACTGTCTTCCATTCTGGTGGGATACTGGTATAATGGCCACATTCCTCCAAGAACAAGTAACTGCTTGGGAGTGGGAGTCCCACCTCCCCGTCCCCCGGGTCTAAAAAGGATTAGACAAATTCATGGAGAATAAGGCTTGCAGTGGCTGCTTGCCGTGATGGCTGAGCTCCACCTCCATAATCAGAGGCCGTCATGTTTCTGAATCCCAGTTGCTGAAAGCCACAAGTGGAGACAGTGCTCAAATCCTGCTTGCTGGTTTTCTCACAGGCATCTGGTACCTCGGGTTAAGTTCTTTATTCGTTCCGGAGGTCCGTACTTAACCTGAAACTGTTCTTAACCTGAAGCACCACTTTAGGTAATGGGGCCTCCTGCTGCCTCCGCGCCGCCAGAGCACGATTTCTGTTCTCATCCTGAAGCAAAGTTCTTAACCTGAAGCACTATTTCTGGGCTAGCGGAGTCTGTAACCTGAAGTGTATGTAACCCAAGGTACCACTGTATGAGAACAGGATGCTGGACTAGAAGGGCCCCCTTTGGCCTGATCCTGCAGGTTGTTCTTATGTTCTCATGGTGCCATTGTTGACTGATGGGAAATGTAGTGCCTCACATAGGCTACCCATGGGTTAATCCTGAACTCTACCTTCCCCCACATACTATAGTCCTGACCCTGATTTTTGTGTGGGTGGGGTGGGGTGTGTGTCCTCTATTTTTACAAGAGAAAATATGTTCTGTACAATTATTCATTTGTCTGCACCGTCCATCTAGAAACTGAACGTGCTTAAGGAACATTCTCTCTTTCTTGCAGGTATGTGTTTGGCTACCAGAAGCACGCTCGCCTCCAGGCGAGGGGAGTGCGCCCCTCGGGCGCCACCATCACCCATATTGTGTCTGCCACCATGATGTCAAGCCTGCTGCAGTGTCTGCTCAGGGACAAATTTTCTCCAGAGTCTTGTAATGAAGAAATGGAAATACAGGTACGGTGGTCCAGGGTTGTTTGGAATGTTGTTGTTGTTGTTTGCCTGCATCACAGAATCATAGAATTGTAGAGTTGGAAGGGACCCTGAGGATCATTCAGTGCAGGAATATACAACCCCATATGGGGATTGAACCTGCAACCATGGCGTTATCTGCACCATGCTCTAACCAACTGAGCTATCCAGGCTGAAAGCTTTGCTGTAGGGAAGCAGCGCTTTCTTGACATATGGGGAAGTTGCAGTTGGAAGTGGTGACTGCATGCTGTAGGCTGTCCATCCATGAATTAACATTATTTAAGGCAGAATTAAAATTTCTGGAAAGAGACAGAGTCTTTAGGTAGCTGCCAATGACCCTAGACTACAACTCCCATCATTCCCAGCCAGCATGGCTGATGGGAGCTGTAATCCCTCAACAACATCTCAAGGCCACCAGGTTGGTGAAGGCTTGGAGCATGGCATTGACTTGGTCAGGCATCTTCCCATTTTCGTGTGATTTTTTCCAGGTACAGTGGTGCCTCGCAAGACGAAATTAATTCGTTCCGCAAGTTTTTTCTTCTTGCGAGTTTTTCGTCTTGCGATGCACGGTTTCCCATAGGAATGCATTGAAAATCAATTAATGCGTTCCTAGGGAAACCGACTTCAGACCAGGTCCGGGGGACAGACTGTCCCCGGACCTCTTCTGAAGGCTGGGGGGACAAGGGCTTTTCTTCCCACCCCCAGCATTTTAAAACCCGGGACAGCGGAGGGCTTCTCCGCTGTCCGGGCGATCTTAAAATGCTGGCGGGCGGCATTTTAAAATTGCCCCGGGACAGCGGAGGACTTCTCCGCTGTCCGGGGCAATTTAAAGCCCCTGGGAAGGCAGGCAGGGGGACAAAGACTTTGCCCCCCGCCAGCCTTCAGAAGAGGTCCTGGACCTCTTCTGAAGGTTGGCGGGGGCGAAAGTCCTTGTCCCCCCACCTGCCTTCAAAAGCTGTCCAGCCAAGGCTTCGCGGACCTCTCCGCAAGCAGCGGCAGCGCTGCCGCTGCTTGCGGAGAGTTGCCGGCATGCCGAAGCCTGCGCGCGCTGAGATCAGCGCGCCCAGGCTCGCGGACCTCTCCGCGAGCAGCGGCAGCGCTGCCGCTGCTTGCGGAGAGCTGCCGGCATGCCGAAGCCTGCGCGCGCTGAGATCAGCGCGCCCAGGCTTCGCGGACCTCTCCGCGAGCAGCGGCAGCGCTGCCGCTGCTCGCGGAGAGCTGCCGGCATGCCGAAGCCTGCGCGCGCTGAGATCAGCGCGCCCAGGCTTCGCGGACCTCTCCGCGAGCAGCGGCAGCGCTGCCGCTGCTCGCGGAGAGTTGCCGGCATGCCGAGCCTGCGCGCGCTGAGATCAGCGCGCCCAGGCTTCGCGGACCTCTCCGCGAGCAGCGGCAGCGCTGCCGCTGCTCGCGGAGAGTTGCCGGCATGCCGAAGCCTGCGCGCGCTGAGATCAGCGCGCCCAGGCTTCGCGGATCGGAGATTTCCCTATGGGCTTGCTTCTGCGAAGCAAGCCCATAGGGAAATTCGTTTTGCGAAGCGCCTCCAAAACGGAAAACCCTTTCGTCTAGCGGGTTTTTCGTCTTGCGAGGCGTTCGTCTTGCGGGGCACCACTGTAATGGATGGGTGGAGAGAACCTTGATGTGGCCTTCCAGCTGTTGCTGGACTACCCCTCCCATCGTCCTTTGCCCTTCCCATTGGCCACAGTGACCAGGGTTTGTGGGTGTTGGAGTTCCACATCATCTGAGTGGCCAAAGCTTTCCCACCACTGCCACAACGTCCTGGGCACATGTCCTCTAAAACTGTGAAGACCTGGAATGGAGAGAAGGTCTGAGTCCTCTCCCAGCATCTGAACATTGCTTTTGATGTTATCTCTTTCCTCTTCCTCAGTTCCACAGCAACCCGCTGTCTGCTATGAATGCCTGCTATGCAGGGGACAGGATCGTGGTTTGCCCTGGTCACTACCTTGTGGAGGGCACCTTGTGCATCGCCGACAGCATTGAACTGGAAGGTTAGAGCTTGTGTTTGCTGAAAGTCTTGGTGGGTTTTCCTCCTTCTCTATGAAACCAGGAGTGGGGGAACCTGGACTCCAACTCCCATCAGCCTCAGCCTATATGGGACTTCAATCCCAGGAGAAATTGGGTAGGGAGAAGTATTATTTCTCATTTTTTCCTGAAACTAAAACTCGCGGACATCCAACGAAGGTTCAGGACAGATAAAGAAAAGGAAGGACTTATTTATGAAGTTAATAGTTTAACCGTGGAACTCGGTCCCATAGGAGGCAGTTATGGCCACTGACTTAAAGGTAAAGGGACCCCTGACCATTGGTTCCAATCGTGGCCGACTCTGGGGCTGCGGCGCTCATCTCGCTTTATTGGCTGAGGGAGCCGACGTACAGCTTCCGGGTCATGTGGCCAGCATGACTAAGCCACTTCTGGTGAATCAGAGCAGCGCACAGAAACACCGTTTACCTTCCCACCGGAGCGGTACCTATTTATCTACTTGCACTTTGAGGTGCCACCGACTTAGAAGGCTTTAAAAGACAATTACAGTAGTCAAATTCATTGAGGAGGAGAGGGCGATTGATGGCTACGCGCCATGATGGCTTGGTTCCACCTCCACAGTTGGCTTCTGAATACCAGTGGCTGGAAACCACAGGAGGGGAGGGGGATCTTGAGCTGGAATCCTCCTTCTGGATTTCCCACAGGCACCAGGTTGGCCACCGTGAGATCAGGATTCTGGACTAGATGGGCCATTGTCCTGCAGGAGCCAGATATTTGCCCTCAAACGGGTGGGAGAGGAGACTGTACAATGGGGCTTACACATGTGTAGGTCTTTATGTGGAGTAGCTGTCTAACATGTTCTGCACATCATGGAGGAAGGGGCATGTGTGAGGAAGCAGCACCCCTTTCCGGTTAAGTCAGTGGGCCTGTCCCCTTGTTCTGCACAGAAATTTAATAGATAAAATATAGGAAGAAACTCCTCTTCTATAGAAATGTGTATATATAAGAGCTATGGCGATCAGTCAATCCTCTTAGCTCTGTTGCTATTCCTTCATGTTCTGATATTTCACTGACACTGGCTGGACTTTCTGAAGTGTATCTCCATAGCTAGCCACCCTCATCCAGGAATATGGGTCCAAAATGAAATGCTTATTTATTTGTAAAAACGTTTGTATATCGCTGTATCATTAAAATAACCAAAACAGTTTACAGCATTAAAAACATAGAACTAAAACTAAAAACAAGCATCAATTAACCATGGTAGAGGGATGTATTCTTAATTGCCTGCATAGGCCTGGCGAAATAGAAAAAAGTTTTCAGTAGGCGTTTAAAAGTTGGCACAGAAGTTCTAGTGGCAGTGAGTTCCACAGGACTGGAGCGATGTCAAACGAGCCTCGCCAACTCATGATCCTGCAGGTTATCTCCCTGACTGAGCTTGGATATATAAGGGTTCATTCAGGCAGTGCTGGAAATGCTTCTGTCTTGTTTTGGAGAAACAGACACGAATCCCTTTTTGTTTCCACCCTGTAATTCTCTCCCTGGACTTTCTTTACTGCGGACAGCTCCACCTCCCTTAAGTTTGCCAAAAGAACCTGGGGTCTGCTGTGCGGTTGTTAGCATAATAGGTTGTACGTTGCTGTGGGGCTTATGTTGCAGTCGCTATCTTTCTCTTGTCAAAAGTCTTTAGTGGAAAAAGAGCCGAGGGTTTAATTTCCTGCTGTTCAGACTCTTTCCAACCCCCCCCCCCCTTGCTGGCCTCCTTTAAAAAAAAAACAAAAAACCCAACAACTTTTGCTTCTTTTATTTTTATGACAATGATTTTCTTTTTCTCCCAGTCTTTCTCGAATGTTTGATTTATATAGATATGCATGCCAGTGTGTGGTACCCCTGCAGGACAGAGGCTTTCAATAAATTTCTTTATCAGTAGGAGTGAGAATAAGATGGCTCAGGAACTCGGGGTGGTATTTATGACAAATCGCATCCTATCAAGAGAGGTCAGGCGAATGTGAGCAAGCAAATTAAAGCGTAGTAGACCAGACATCGCCACGAGCTTTTAAGGAACAAAAGCCGACATCTAGTTTATTCATCGAGTCGACGCTTCTGATTGAACAAGTGCCAGGAAGTCTTATTGCTTGTCGTTTGATAGATCTGCTTTTTCCTTTTTTGGAAGCTGTGAAAAATAAAAGCACTGGGTGGCATTTTAGCAACGTGGTCTGTTAATGATGTTGGATGGGTGTTAATGATAAGGGAGGAGTCTCTCTCTCTCTCTCTCTATCTCTGTTTGTGTGTGTCTGTCTGTGTGTGTGTTTGTGTTTGTATGGACCAATTTGACCCATTGAATGTTATTGTTGGTGCATGACATGCAGCAGTACAGTGGCAAATCCAGAAGGGCAGGGTCCTTTCCTGATAGTCAGGGCTACACCCCTTCCAAGATTATACTTCCTAGAATTATATAATGGGGAATGCATTGCAACGGTCGGTACAGATCTCCATGTGTTGCCTTTCACCCAGACCTGTGCAGGTACGTGGGCAAATGATCTGGAGTGCTCTAATATCTTCTTTTGAAGTCCCACCATACAGTACAGAACTTGCACACTCCCTTCCCTTGAAATGGAAGCAACTTGTGTTTCCAATTTCCCCAAGTGCTTAGCTTTGGAGCGTTTGGGAACAACTCCTCTGTGTTCTCCCCTTGCGACTTCTCCAGAGCTGACCCTAGGAGCCGATTCTCGGTGGCTGACTCCACCTCCTTCACTCTGATTGGCTCCAGTTAGCCCAGAGGGTGAGAGAACTTATTTTCAGTGGCTAAAAAGCTCTCTTTCCAAGCTGATTGGGTGGCTCTCTAGGACAATGTAGGGCAGGGGGCCCTGCTACAGAAATAGTAACGGGTCTTTAACACACACTCCCAGTGACCCTAGGCCCCTATACTAATGTTAGCATGGACTCCTTTTTGGAAAGGCAGCGGTAGCTTTACTGATAAATTGATCCAAGACTTTTAAAGTGAGCCCACCAACGCATGCTCCTCTTAGCCGCACCAAAAATTGTGGTCAAATGAAAGTATCTGTATTTGTATGTTGATGTACAGTACCGGTTCACACTTAAAAGGGGGAAACCGTGGATTCCTGCCATGTGAATGAGCCTTGGGAAGCCCCTTGGGAAGAAACTGGGAACTGAAGCCACTTAGAATTGTAGAGTTGGAAGGGACCACGAGGGTCATCCAGTCCAGCCCCCTGCCAATGCAGGAATCTTGTCCCCAAAGTGGGTCTCGAACCCATGGCGCTGAGCTTTAAGAGTCTCATGCTCTACTAATTGAGCTATCTCTGCAGCTAACGTCGCTGCTTTGTGCTGACTAGAGTTTGAAGCAAACCACAGTTTCCCAAGTTTGGACTTCAAAGGAAACAGTGATTTAGTTAAAAGTGGGTGTTCCCAATTTCCTCCTTGCTGTGAAAGGAGAGGTGAGGCCAAGACTCGTTGGAAGGTTCGTTCACATAGTGGGGGAACCATGGCTTCCCCACTACATTTGAACAAGTGGAAGTTTAGCACTTCTGTGTAGATTGCTACAAGAGAGAGAGAGAGAGAATGAGAGAGGGAGAGAGAAATCCCGTTGCAACTCCATTAACCCAGAAAAGAGCAGGAGCCAAGTGACAAAATTTGGGGTGGTAAATCAGCAAATGGTTCTTCCTGGCCATTTCCGTGGGTGAATCGTGGGGGAACAGAAGTGTGCATGTGTGGAAAGGGTGGGGGAGTAGTTGCATGGCCAGTGTTTAGGGTGACCTGCCAGTATATCAGTAAAAAACAACAGCAACCCCAAAGTTCCGTGATGCAACAGTTCCTGCAGTGTGAAAGGAATGTTACAAATGAGCACAGAAGTGCCAGCATCCTAACTGGGAAAATGCTGCAATAAATCCCGTGTCTGAATTCAGCCTTGCTATGGTTCCTAGTGCTTTCTTCATAGAGTTGGAGAACTGTAGAGTTGGAAAGGATTCCAAGGGTCATTTAGTACAACCCAGAACCACAGCTAAAGAGCTACTTTTTAGAAGATTCCTCCTTGCTTGATGTGCCTTGTGAACAAGAGTTCCTGCACTTTCTTTCTAATTCCAGAAAGATCTCATGGCTCTCTAATGGCGTCGTTATTATCGCTTGCCTTGTTGTTTGTTCTTGCTAGTGACGAGCCATAAATTTTTTTTTACATGCTCGTAAATTTCTCTTAAGTGCTTCAGAGCGAGCGACTGTGGAGAGCTTAGTTAACTCAGCGTTGCAGCCTTAAAAAGGAGGGGGGGGCGACATTTGTTGTGTATGTCATTTAACTAAATGCCGTAGAACTGAGCAGACCGTCCCTCCTAAAATGCAGAAGTGTGTAAAAAGGAAGCTGGTTTATTGTTACAAGTATATCCCACCTTTTCTCCATGGAGCTCAAGGTGGTAGACGTGATTCTTCTCCTTTGCTGTGTTATCCCCAAAAGGTTAGTGCTGAGACTTAGTTACTGGACCGAGGCCACTCTCTGAGTTTTGTGGCCAAGAGCGGGATTTGAACCCTGGTCTCCCAGGCCCTACTCTGATGCTCTAACCACTACAGCACATTGGCTGGTGGTGTGGCTGCTACAGGGTGGTAATAATAACAACAACGATAATGATAATATTATTTATACCTTGCCCATCTGGCTGGGTTTCCCCAACCACTGTGGGCAGCTTACAGCATATCTAAAAACATCAAGCGTTTAAAAACCTTCCGATGCAGGGCTGCCTTCAGGTGTCTTCTAAAAGTTGTGTAATTCTTTATCACCTTGACATCTGAGGGGAGGGTGCCACTACTGAGAAGGACCTCTGCCTGGTCCCTGAATTTGTTGCAGCCTGCCAAAACTATTCTTTCCTTCTGCCTCCTGAAACTTTCTCCGCAGGCTACGGTTTGCCAGACGACATTGTGATAGAGAAACGAGGGAAGGGGGACGCTTTTGTGGAGTGCAGTGCCGCGGATGTGAAAATCTCCAGTGTGAAGCTGGTCCAGCACGATGCCGTGGAGGGCATCTTGAGTAAGTACCTTAAGCTTGCCACCTGGCTTTGGCGTGCCACCCCCTAGGCTGGACTGAGGAACTAAGTGGTGGATTGGGCCCCGTCCCTCTTCTGCTGTGCCAACCCTAATAACAGGTGAAATAGACAGTCTAAGACGATTGCCGTAACTTGATCCATGCCTGGATGACTTCTGTTACTACTCGTGTATGGTGGGATTGAAATACCCCAAGATTTTTCTGCCTTGGTGGTGCTGCCAAAGAGGAGAGGGTTGCCTTAACCCAGCAGGCCAGCATGCAAGGCTCATGATTTGGCTTGCAAATTGTCCAGGCACCACCCCCATTCTTCATCTGTTGTTTTTTTCTTGCTCTTTCCCTTCCTCCTTATCTGAATTTGGGGTGGGGAGGCCCAGATCTGTAATTCCGCAGAGGAGTGGTTCCGAATACCAGTTTCTGTTTACCACAGGAGGGCAGAGAGCAAGTCACACTGCAGTGCTGTTCACAGGCTTCCCATTGGGGAATCTGGCTGGCCACTGTGAGAACAGGATGCTGGACTCGATGAGCCATTGGCCTGATCCAGCAGGCTCTTTTTATGTTCCTACCCTTTAATGGTAGGGACCCAGTTTAATTCTTAGAAACATCATATTCCTAACATCATCCCCCTGCATCTGTTGCATCAAAGCAGCACCTATTTGTTCTAATTCAAGTTTCATCTTCTTACCTTTCACCTCTGCTTTTATTAATAACCTAGTTCTGCTGTCACCATTGTGGTTCGCCCTCCAGATGTGTTGGGCTGTGACTCCAATCAACCATGCTGGCGGATGTTGTGCTGGCTGCGGCTGATGGGAGTGGACATCCAAAACATTGGGGGGGGGGGACCTCATTGGCAGCTGGTGATCGATGGTCTGTTCCAGAGAGGCATGTCATAACATGGATACTTTACCCGCCCGTCCCCATCGTTTGATATCAAAAGTTTAATTTTTAAATTTTTGTTCCATAATGGGAATCTGGCACCCCTCCACCCCTATCTGAATTTGACAACAATCTTGTTGGCTCTGCCCTTCTGTCTTCTGGAGCAGGTGATAATTAACACTTCGTCATCGAGAGGTAGATTTGAATAACAAATGTTACATGGGCTAGCAAGACTATTTCAGCACCTTCTACATGTGAAAATATATTCACGCACCACGAAAAGAGAGGGTTCTTGGGCCACTGCTGGAGAGAAGTTACTAACTGTATGTCCCTAAAATGTTCTTACGAAGAGTAACTTTCTGTAAAAATTCTGGCTGTCGCAATAAATACTTAATGGCGGGTGGGGAGGAGAAAAATAGGAGGTCCAGAGGCCAATTCTGGCCTGCAAAGGCTTCCTGTTCAGTTCCAGCGTTGCCCCTGCTTCCAAAGGACCTTCTCACCCCACATACACAATTGTTCATTTGTTTAGAAGATTTTCACCTGCCTCTCAATAGGACACTTCTCCAAAGTGGGTAGCGACAACTCAAACCACAAAATGCAATCCAAAAAAAACAACAACAAACCACTTGAGAAAACGATTCAGCAGGAAAAGTTTCCAGCAGCTAATAATTGTAGACCTGGTGCAACTTCCAGCATGGCAATATGTCTTGAAAATAAGCCACTGAAATGTTCCCCCTAAAGACGAATCCATCACTCTAGAACTAATGAGTGACAATTTTGCAGTGGACCAGCAACCAAAGGTTATATTGTAGTGTGAAGAGTTTCTGTTCGTGATGCTTTTGCATCTGTCCCTCCAACCCCTGGTCTCCCGCCCCCCGCTGCACAAAAGACACTTGGGTCTTCTGTTGCCTTCTACTGAATCAGGCCACTGTCTCTCTAGCTCAGGATCCTTGATACAGAATGGCAGAGCTCTAGTGTTCAACACAGGGGACATTCCCAGACCTACCTGGATGTGCTGGAACCTGGGACCTTCTGCATGCAAAGCACATTCTCTACCACTGAGCTTCCCCAGGCTTGCATAACTCGAACACTCTAGAATTCCTTGCTTGTGTTTGTTGGGGTTCACCAGGAACCACTTCTAAATCTGGGCTACAGGTGCAGCAGCTCAGAGCGTTCTTCTCTCTCCCTCCCACCCAGGTGTTCATCAAGGGAAGACCACCCTGGAGAACTGCGTGTTGCAGTGCGAGACCACAGGGGTGGCAGTGCGAACATCGGCTGAGCTTTTAATGAAAAATTCCGACTTGTACGGTGCTAAGGTAGGAATTGATGCTCTTCTTGCGATTGACAGACGCATTGAAAAGGAAACAAAAGCAGCTTCGGCAGATACGTTCGACGCCGGCTAATAATCCTCTCCTCTTTCAAAAGCACACGCGAGGCGCTTCCTCGGATACGCTGGAAAATTACAGAAATTGCAAGAAGATTACAAACAGTTACTATAAAATAGGTTTGCCCTTTCAAATCAGTTTATCTAGCATTGTGTGGCGTTTGCAACGTGTGACAGGGCTTTTGAGCAACTTTTTGTTGTTCTGGTTAGAGCAGAATGCGGACCACGCAAATGCCACCCTCACCAGGCATCGCTCGCCGCATGCGCACTTGAACTGTTGACCAGAGCAAAGTTCATTTGTCGATTATCCAGGAGTCTAGGCCTTATTGATTTCTCCAACAGCCTCTTAGAATTGCCTATTGATTAGCAACATCTCCGCCTCTTAATTGCAGGGTGCCGGTGTAGAAATCTATCCGGGCAGCATGTGTACGTTGATGGGGAACGGCATACACCATTGCAAAGAAGGAATCCTAATAAAAGTGAGTGTGTGAGCAGAATTGGGGTTAGCAGGGCTGCTTCCTATGCTTCTGGTAACATCAGATTGGCAGAGCTGTGTGGGCAGAGAGAAGGGCATAGTTTCATGAGCTCTCATTGGTTTGAATGTCTCTGTAAGCTGCACATCAGCTGTGGGAAACCTGTGATTCTTCAGATGCAGCTGATCTGGAGTTCCCACCATTGGCCATGCTTGGCTGGGGCTGTTGGGAAGATGCAGCCCAAGAACACCTTGGGGGGGGCACCTCAACCCTGCCATAAACTATGACTTAGACTGTGCGACCAAATTGCACCCTTTTTGCTCCTCCTGGCTCACTCTAGGAGGAAAGAAGTCACCATCCCTGGCTTAGTGTTATGCTGGAACCTGCTTTTGGTCTCTCCATCGTGGTCATTATTGTCCACTGTGATCTGATGGGGAGGATCTGTTGATTGGATTACATAGCACCTGGCTGTGGTCTAGAAGAGGGCCTTCTCTGTAGTGGCACCTACCCTGTGACCTCCCTATTGGACTGCTGCCACTGGAAGTTAAAAATGTATTTATTTCCTCATACGATTCCCTGACCATTTTTCCCTTTCTAGTTTCTGGTGTTGATCTCGTTGTCTGTCTTTGATCTGACAGTTGAGTTTTGTTGATTTTGTTCTTATTAAATATTATCCTACATTTATTATTATTATGGGAACCGCTTTGACAATTGTCACAGTAGAGGAAAAGTACCTTGGATCCCGAATGTCCGACTTGGCTTCCACGGCTTCCTGCAGCCAATTGGAAGCCGTGCTTTGTTTTCTCAACATTTTGGAAGTCAAACGGATTCCGTTCGACTTCCGAGGTACCACTGTATAAACGTCCTAGTAATAAATATATGAAATGAGAAGACGAGCAATCTTACCTTCTGGACTGGGAATCTCTCTCACCCTTGGCTTTTAGGACTTTTTGGATGAAAATTATGACATTCCCAAGATAACGATGGTGAACAATGTAATACATAATAATGAAGGGTATGGAGTGGTCCTGGTGAAGCCTACTGTCAAAGAGAGCGCTCCAGAAAGCTCAGGAGGCACATTCTTAAGTGGCCCAGGTAAGTTAATGAAAGGCAACAATACCTGTGAACTGCCCTGAGGCCTGCGGGTATAGGGCCGTATATAAATTCAATAAATTAATAATAATAATAATGCCTATTCTGAACCCCAGGATAAGAGGAGCCATGCTGGATCAGGCCAGTGGCCCATCTGGTCCAGCATCCTGTTCTCACAGTGGCCAACCAGAGACCCCAATGGGACGCCTGCAAGCTGGCCATGAGCACAGAAGCTGTGGCCTCCTGTGGTTTCCAGCAACTGGCATTCAGGACTGTTGCTGCCTCCAACCATGGAGGCAGACATAGCCAGGATGGCTAATAGCCCTTCCCATGATGAACTGCTTTGCCTTTCGCCAGGTTGATGCATTCAGAGGGGGGCTCTCTTGGCGGTTCCTCCACCCACAGAGCCTTGGGGGGTGGCAGCCTGGGCGAGGACCCTTCTCTGTGGCAGCTCCTAAGCTGTGGAACTCCCCACAGAGGTATGTTTAGCACCTTCATTATACAGTTTCAGGAGGATGCTGAAGATGCATCTTTTGTCCCTGGTTTTTTGACACTTGAGGTGTACATTTTCAGGTCCTGTCTTATTGTTAGGATTCAAAGTTTCAAACTGTTTTTAAGATGTGGTAGTCAATGAAATCAATCGTACGTATGGATTCCACTTAATGTCGTTGTTTCTGGCTTAGAGCAAGCAAAGGACCTTCATCCCACGGGCGACGTCTCCATCCCGGTTTGCGAAGATGCACATCAACAGGTCGGTGGTGGGTGGGAGCCTCATGGAAGGGCAGGCATTTCTGAGCACACGGAAGGCAATTCTGAAATCGCCAACGAACTTTCCGCCGCATCTCTCAAGAAGAGCCATCTGCGTAAGAAGAGGCTGAGCAACTTGGGCATCACGGAAGCGGACGACAACCTGATGTCTCAGGAGATGTTTGTGTCCATTGTGGGCAACCACTTCAAGCGAAATGGCAAAGGGAGCTTTGGCACATTTCTCTACTAGATTTCCTTAGTAGAATGGCATTGGAATAATATATAGCCTGGCTGCCGGCTGGCTTGCTGCCGAGTAGCTGAAACTGTTGACATCCATCCCTTAAAAATAATTATTATTATTTGGCTCCATTCCTTGCTTGCGTGTGATTCCAGTGTATTTATTCTCCTATGCAGCACGTCTGTTGCACAACTGAAGTTTCTACTCCTTGGTGTGAGTTTTGAACCCAGCACTTGAGAGTAAAAGAAAACTTCCCCATGGAGCCTTTCGAATGGATATTCTCCCTTTCTACTTGCTATACATACATACATACATACATACATACATATATCACTTACTGTATTTATTTCTGATAGAAGACACCTTATTAAAAAATACATTTGAAGCTCCAGCTGCAGGAGGAAGGAGGCTGTTCACAGTACCGTAAAACTGTTGACCTCTTAACCACAGCTGAAAAGTGTGCTTTGCTTCCTACGTAGTAGTGGTGGTCTATTATTTTCAGCTGTTTTTAAATAAAACCTTTTTTAAAATATATATTTAGGAAATTGTCCCCCCTCTTTGTTTTGTACAGAGTTCTGTCGGTCCCTTTCAATAAACATTACCTGTTACACAGCTGATCCATGTGAGCATTCTTAAAATATATTAGGGTGTAGAACTGCAGTGCTTAGATTTAATGGGTGTTAGAAAACCGTGTAGTCTTGTGCTTTGGTGAAGAAAGACCTGGTGATTCTCAGGGCGGTCTCAGTTAACTCAGAAAACGTTTCCCCGAGTGAGGTTTGGAAAGGTGTGGGCGAGATGGAAGATCTTTGAACTTGGAGGAATGAGAGAGGCGTGGTCGTCTGTCCGAATGCTCGGGAGTTCTTGCGAGTAGCTGAGAGGGGAACTTGCGTTGTACCAGGGCCAGGAATGTGCATCTGGTGGATTTCTTCAATAAACACACCACTGAGGCAGCTTTGCTTTCGTCAAAACAACAGTGGTCAAAACGATGAGTCCACAGACCTGTAATGACACAATGCTTCTTTAGAGAAATTCTCTTGCCTTAGCTTGACACGTGCGTAGAGATTAAGTCATGTTCGCAGAGGAAAAGCATGCCTGCATTATCAGAGCTGGATGCCCAATTCAGCAAAAAGAGTAGGGTGCCTACTCTCTGTCAGGATAGCTCAAGGCTAAGGGAAATTGGCTCCTAAATGTGGCTACCTGGGAGTCACTCATCCAGGCCCTGAGAGTAGCAATGGAGACTGGGGAAACATATTCCTGCCTATCTGCTTGGAGTTGGTTCCCAGCGGTCTTGTGCGGGTGATGCTGTTTTGGCTATGTAAAGCAGCACTCATGCCTGAACATCAGAAATGGAGGGAAGGATGACCGAGTGGTAGCTCCATAAAAGGTTCTTTGCTCCATTCTCTACTGTGAGATATACCTGTGTATTGCTCATGCACAAATGCACATCCCTTGGACTGAGAAATGTTCCCTAACCCCTGTTTTAGTGTTAGATTTGCTTTCTCCCCATCCCCGTATTGCAGGCATAGGCAAACTCGGCCCTCCAGATGTTTTGGGACTACAACGTCCATCATCCCTGATCACGGGTCCTGTTGGCTAGGGATGATGGGAGTTGTAGTCCCAAAACATCTTTAGGGCTGAGGTTGACGAAGCCTGGCTTAGGACAGAAAGGCATGAACTGTGTTTGGTCAAGGTATAACTCCCAGGACTTTTAAAATCAGGGCAATCAATAATCAAGTTCTATAGAAAGCATCCTTCCTCGTGCTGCCTTTAGTTTTTTAAAGGGCTGTTGCTTCTGATGTGCTGCTACCTTGCTTCAAACAAGTTTTTGGCAAAGGCCTTGTAAACTGAAAATTGCAAACTTGCCGGTCCATGGTGCTCATTGTGGAAGGCTTTCCAAAGGAGATGCAGTCTAGTATAGTGCAGATGTTACATCACAGTTTCTCCACCCGTGACATTTTATGTACAGTGGTTCCTCGGGTTACAGACGCTTCAGGTTACAGACTCCGCTAACCCAGAAATAGTACCTCGGGTTAAGAACTTTGCTTCAGGATGAGAACAGAAATCGTGCTCCGGCAGCAGCAGGAGGCCCCATATTAGCTAAAGTGGTGCTTCAGGTTAAGAACAGTTTCAGGTTAAGAATGGACCTCCGGAACGAATTAAGTACCATATTTATCGCTCTATAACACGCACCCGACCATAACATGCACGTAGTTTTTAGAGGAGGAAAATCCGTAGGCATGCCATGTTGGGTTGAAATCACGACAGACGAATGGTGGGTGTCAAAGGAGAGACGTCTGCCCGGGGCAAGTCCCGGGAACTCTCTTTTATTGAATATTACAAACATTGCCACAGGTGTGCTTGTGGCTGATTGGCTGATACAAACACAAAGCATCTTGTTGCTGATTGGTTAACATAGGTACAAGGCGGGAATAACATATAACATCAATCACTGATAGTTCAAAAGACTGGGAACGGAGCTGGAACTAGACAGGCATGAAACCTCCTAATTAAATTATAACTAAAGATTGATATTGAGAGAACATAACATGAAGGAATACAACAATCACGTTCTGTAAATGTGGTCAGCAATGCATTAAGAACAGGTCAGGATACACTGTTTCATGAACTCAATGGGAACTGTTCAGAACATCCTCAGACTTATGTGCAGAGGCAAAAACTTCCCAGAATGTAAGAGAGGAAAGAAGCAAGAGTTCTCATAGTAAGCATAGAAAGATTTCATAGTAAGACTTCACAGTTATGTGCAGTAAGAGAAATTGCAGAAAGAAAACTTCCCTTCAATGCCACCTGTAGGCATTCCCTCCATAACATGCACAGACATTTCCCCTTACTTTTTAGGAGGAAAAAAGTGAGTGTTATGGTGCAAAAAATACGGTACTTAACCCAAGGTACCAATGTATTTTACTTTTCATGCACCTCTGAAAACTTATTCAGGCGTAGGGACAGACGAGGTGAGCGTGCTGGGCTGTACAAATTTCAGCATTCTTGGATAGGGAGTAACTTTTTAGAGTCAAAGAAGCATGTTGGGAGGAGAAGCAGAATCTGTCCCTCACTTCAACCTATTTTTCTGGGCTTGGCTGATTTAAGCAGTTCTCCTGCCCCGGCCTATGTAAGGTCCCCAAGCTCAGTCCCCACCTGGGAAAAAAACCTCCTGTCTAGACACCTGGCGAGACACTGCCGGTCAGTGTCGGTCCGGAAGAGGGAAATCAAAATGATCAAGCAGGTAGAGTGACTTCCCTGTTAGGAAAGGTTGCAGCGTTTAGGGAAAAGATGAATAAGAGGCGACATGATAGAAGTGTATAAAATTATGCACTGGATAGAGAAAGTGGATAGTGGGAGGGTTTTCCCCCCTCTCTCATAACACCAGAAATCGAGGACATCCAGTGAAGCTGAATGAATGTGCTTCTTCATGCATAGTCAAACTATGGAACTCCACTCCTGCGAGAAGTAATGATGGGCACCAACTTGGATGGCTTTAAAAGAGGATTGGACAAATTCATGGAGGACAAGGCATGAGGACTGTGCTCTGTCTCCACAGTTGGAGGCCGCAATGCTGCTGAATACAAGTTGCTGGAAACCACAGGAGGGGAGAGGGCTCCTTGTGGGACAACCAGCCTCATACAGCCAACATGCTTAAGTCTAATTAGTGCATGAAAGGGTTACTACCATAGAGTAAGCTGTCCTGCCAGACTTAGCTGTGTCCCTTCTCCTTACCTTGGGAGGAAATAGGTAATCAAGTCTTTGTTCCCTTCCCAGTCTACCTGAGAATCCAGTGTGAGGAGGTGTGAACTGGTTCTTCCAGTTCAGCCAAAGGACTTTAATCACTTTCTTTCTTTCTTTCTTTCTTGCTTGCTTGCTTGCTTGCAAGAATAGAGTCTGAAAGCAATGTTTTCTTATACCAATAGTTTAGGAATTTGTACTCATTTGTAACTAAGCTACGTTTTACTGCTTGTGCAACTTTTCTGACTGATGTAAAGAAAAGCACATGAATCTGACCTTAGGAAAATTTGTAAGCAAACATTTTTCAACTTACCAAAGTGTGGTCTTTTCTGTGTTAGGGGAAATGGGAAACTTTGGAACTCACTTGGAGGAGCACATTTTTAAATGCTTTTCAGTCTACATTTTACTTTGCTTTACGTTGCTGATTTTAAATCTCTTCAGGGGTGCTCTCACCGGAGTTTTTGTCCCCTGAATTGGATTCCTAGCATCAGAGGAAATTCTCCTTTTATCTGTTTTTCCTTGAACCAATGCCCGTGTGCTTAGATTCTGCTTGTGGTATTTTGGTAGCCACTGTGAGAACAGGATGCTGGATTAGGTAGTCCCTTGGCCTGATCCTGCAGGCTCTTCTTAGTGTAAGCATCCAGCATTCCTGGATATGTGTACTGAAAAGGCAGAGTTTTGTTCTTAATGAAATAATGTTAATAGCTCATTACTCCTTTTTTATATATGAACTAGTATACCATTTTTACAGGCTGAACTGTAATTCATCTTTTCCTCTGGCAGCGGAAAGGCCTGTGCTTCTGTTTCCCCACCATGCCTTTACTCTTCCCCGAAGACTTCTTGCCAACGCAGATGCTCGTATAACTAAGCGCTGATATTTAGATGTCTTCATCTCGGTCAATAAAGTGGAATGTAAAATACTTTCTCCGTGTAAGTAGCTGTGTGCCTTGGGGGCTTGTGAATGGTCCTTTGTGGCAAATCAATAACTCCAGAGCTGCTCTTCAAAAAAACCACCCTTTGATAAATGATTAAAAAGGCAAGTTAAGAGCGATCGATGCTGGAATATATTGTCACCTTGCTGTTTACTCTTGTGCATTCAGCTTTTTTTGGAGAGGGAGATGGGGGTGGGGGGCAGATAGAGAGAGAGAAGAAGAAGCTGAGATAAATGAACATTCCCCCCCTTTTTTCAAATGAGAAAAAGAGATGTGTTTCCAAAATAAAACAGGGACTGTTCCTATTGAACATCTTTTGCATCAAGGTTGCAGCTGCTTTTCAGATAGTCTGCCTAGTTTTCAGAGTTAATATGGATTAGTTTCTTTGGGTTTGCCAAACTTAAAGCTGCCTGAAGCCTGTTTTTCATGAGAACTTGAATACTACTTGGTTCTAATGCCTAACTTTTCATTTCAAGGTTTTCATTCATCTGGGTGAGGCATACTGCAGTTCAATGTTTCTTGCTATTTATTTTCTCACATTTTCTCACATTGGGTTCTTCCACCATGGAACCCAACAGGGGTGCCAACCTGAATAAAATATTGTGGGCGCCCAAGTAAGCCCTGCCCCTCATAACTGATCACATAATTGCACACACATCATGGGAATGTCCATAAACTTAGTGGGGCCCCACCCCCTTAAATATTTTATTGTGTGGGCCGAAGCCCCCACGGCCCCTAGGAGTTGGCTCCTATGGAACCCAAGGTGGAGATCATGAAGTCATCATGCAGTCTCCCTTTCAGGCACTGACCACATCACGACCTGCTTAGCTCCAGCAAGGGAAGGGGGTGGCCTCATATACCTTCAGAGCATTCTTTGGGACCTTAGCTTGTCCACCTCTGCCCTTGGAGTGGCAGGACTTGACTTGATGATGGTGCCTACACTT